CAAGAAAAATTTCTTCTATATATGGATGTATCTACTAGTCAAGGAGCAAAACTTGACCTACTCTTGGGAAATAAGGCAGGGCAGGTGACTGAGGTGTCAGTGGACAGCACTTTGGGGCCAGTGACCATAATTCTATTAAAGTTAGTTATGGAAGAGGATAGACCGGATCTATAAGTGAAAGTTCTAAATTGGTGTAAGGCCAATTTTGACAGTATTAGGTAAGAACTATCAAAAGTTGATTGGGGTGGATATTTGCAGGTATAAGGATGGCTGGAAAATGGGAAGCCTTCAAAAATGAGATAATGAGATTCCAGAGACAGTATATTCTTGATAGGGTGAAGGGCAAGGCTGGTAGGTGCAGGGAATGCGGGGTGACTAGAGAAATTGAGGTTTTGGTCAAGAAAAAGAAGGAAGCAAATGTCAGGTATAGAGCTCAGGGTTCCAGTGAATCCCTCAAAGAGTATAAAGGCGGTAGAAGTATACTTAAGAGGGAAATCAGGAGGGCAAAAATGGGACATGAGATAGCTTTGGCAAATAGGGTTAAGAAGAATCCAAAGAGATTCGACAAATTTGTTATTTACATAAATGATCTGGATGTGAATGTACAAGGCAAGATTAGTAAGTTTGCGGATGATACAAAATTAGGAAGTATTGTTGATAATGAAGAAGGTTATCAAAAATTACAGAGGGATCTTGATCAGATGGGAAGTGGGTTGAGGATTGGCAAATGCAATTCAATACAGATAAGTGTGAGGTGTTGCATTTTGGAAAGTCAAACCAAGGTAGATCTTATACAGTAAATGGTAAGGTCCTGAGGGGTGTTGTGGAACAGAGGGATCTAGGAGTACAAGTGCATAGTTCGTCGAAAGCGACGTCACAGGTAGATGGGGTGGTGAAGAAGGCATTTAGTATGCTGGCCTTCATCAGTTGAGGCATTGAGTATAGGAGTTGGGACATTATGTTACAGGTGTATAAATTGTTGGTAAGGCCGCATTTGGAGTACTGTATACAGTTTTGGTAACCCTGATATAGGAAAGACATAGTTAAACTGGAAAGTGTGCAAAGAAGATTTACGAGAATGCTGCAAGGACTAGTAGGCCTGAGTTATAGGGAGAGGTTGGCCAGGATAGGACTTTATTTCTTGGAACATAGGAGAATGAGGGATAACCTTATTGAGGTGTATAAAATCATGAGGGGCATTGATAGGATGTATGCATATAGTTTTTTTATCCTGGGGATGGGGAATTGAAAACTAGAAGGTATAGGTTTAAGGTGAGAGGTGAAAGATTTAAGAAGGACCTGAGGGGCAACTTCTTCATGCAGAGAGTGGTGCGTATATAGAACGGGCTGCCAGAGAAAGTGGTTGAAGCAGGTACTTTAGCAACATTTTAAAAAATACGTGATAGATACATGGATGGGAAGGGTTTAGAGAGATATAGACCAAATGCAGGCAGTTGGAACTAACTGAGTGAGCACCATCGTCAGCATAGACCAGAGTGTGCTGAAGGCCCTGTTTCTATGCTGTATCACTCTATGACACTGAATAAATTAAGGATAAAAGAGTAACGAGGGAGAGAATAGGGCCCCTTAAAGATCAGTGAGGCTGCCTACATGTGGCGATGGGGAAAATACTAGATGAGTATTTTGCATGACTGTTTACTGTGGAGAAGGATATGGAAGATAGAGAACTTGAGGAAATAAATAGCAACATATTGAAAAACGTCCATATTATAGAGGAGGATATGCTGGGCATCTTAAAACACATAAAGGTGGATAAATCCCTGGGACCTCATCAAGTGTACCCTTGAACTCTGTGGGAAGCTAGGGAAATGATTGCTGGGCCCTTGCTGAGATATTTGTATCATCGATAGCCTCAGATATAAAGGACTCTAACATTTTTCCAATGAAAAATGCGAAACTAACTGACCTGTGGTGACCTGGGTTTTGCCTCCCTCCCCTTTTGAAAAAGGGTGTGATATTGGTAGTATTCTAATCCTCTACAACTTTTCCAGAATCTAAAGATTCCCGGAAGACTACTATCAGTGCATCTAGTATCACTGCACCTTTTAAAAAATTTATTTGCTTGTGGGACGGGCATGTCACTGGCTGGCCAGCATTTATTTCCCGTCCCTAGTCGCCCCTTGAGAAGATGGTAGCAAGCTGCCTTCTTGAACTGCTGCAGTCCACCAGCTGTAGGTTGACCCACAATGCTCTTATGGAGGGAATTCCAGGATTTTGACCCAGTGATACTGAAGAAATGGTGATATATTTCCAAGTCAGGGTGGTGAGTGGCTTGGAGGGGAACTTGCAGGTGGTGCTGTTCCCAATTACCTGCTGCCCTTGTCCTTCTAGATGGAAGTGGTTGCGGGTTTTAGAAGGTGCTGCCTAAGGGTTTTCAGTGAATTTCTTAAGTGTGTCTGGTAGATGAGACATATCACTACTTGCTTTAAAATCCTAGGATGCAACCCATCAGGTCTAGGAGAATTAGAAATAGAACATAGAACAGTATAGCACTGTACAGGCCCTTCGGCCCACGACATTGTGCCAACCTATCATCCTACTCTAAGATCAAACTACCCTGCATACCCTACATTATACTATCATCGATGTGCCTATCCAAGAGTTGCTTACATGTCCCTAATGTATCTGACTCCACTACTACTGCCGGCAGTGCATTCCATGCACCCACCATTCTCTGTGTGAAGAACCTACCTCTGACATCTCCCCTATACCTTCCTCCAATCACCTTAAAACTATGACCCCTCGTAATAGTCATTTCCGCCCTGGGAAAAAGTCTCTGGGTATCCACTCTATAGGCGCCTCTCATCATCTTATACACCTCTATCAAGTCACTGCTCATCCTTCTTCGCTCCAATGAGAAAAACACTAGCTCCCTCAACCTTTCCTCATAGACCTGCCCTCCAGTCCAGGCAGCATTCTGGTAAATCTCCTCTGCACCCTCTCTAAAGCTTCCACATCCTTCTTATAATGAGGTAACCAGAACTGAACACAATATTCCAAGTGTGGTCTAACCAGGGTTTTATAGAGCTGCAGCATAACCTCATGGCTTTTAAACTCAATTCCCCTGCCAATGAAAGCCAACACCATAAGCCTTATTAAAAACCCTATCAACTTGGGTAACAACTTTGAGGGATATATGGACATGGGCCCCCAAGATCCTTCTGTTCCTCCACACTGCCAAGAATCCTGCCTTTAGCCCTGTATTCTGCATTTAAATTCAACCTTCCAAAATGAATCACTTCACACTTTTCTGGGTTGAATTCCATCTGCCACTTCTTTGCCCAGCTCTGCATCCTGTCAATGTCGTGTTGCAACCTACGACAGCCCTCCACGCTGTCCACAACTCCACCAACCTTCGTGTCATCGGCAAACTTACTAACCTACCCTTCCACTTCCTCATCCAAGTTATTTATAAAGATCACAAAGAGCATGGGTCCCGGAACAGATCCCTGCGGAACACCACTGGTCACCAGGCTCCAGGCTGAATACTTTCCATCTACTACCATCCTCTGTCTTCTATTGGACAGCCAGTTTTGTATCCAGACAGCTAAATTTCCCTGAATCCCATGCCTCCTTACTTTCTGAATGAGCCTACCATGGGGAACCTTATCAAATGTCTTGCTGAAATCCATATACACCACATTCACTGCTCTGCCTTCATGAATGTGTTTTGTCACATCCTCAAAAAATTCAATAAGGCTTGTGAGGCATGACCTGCCCATCACAAAGCCATGCTATTTCTAATCAAACGGTGCTTTTCCAAATAATCATAAATACTATCTCTCAGAATCCTCTCCAATAATTTTCCCACCACAGAAGTAAGACTGACTGGTCTGTAATTTCCAGGATTATCCCTACTCCCTTTCTCGAACAAGGGAATAACATTTGCCAACCTCCAATCATCAGGTACTACTCCAGTAGACAGTGAGGACGCAAAAATCATCGCCAAAGGCGCAGCAATCTCTTCCCTCACTCCCCATAGTAATCTTGGGTATATCCCGTCTGGCCCAGGGACTTATCTATCCTCATGGTTTTCAAAATATCTAGCATATCCTCCTTCCTAACATCAACCTGTTCGAGCATATCAGCCTTTTTCACGCTGTCCTCACAGATGTCAAGGTCGTTCTCACTGGTGAATACTGAAGCAAAGCATTCATTTAGGACCTCCCCTACCTCCTCCGACTCCATGCACAAGGTCCCTCCACTATCCCTGATCGGCCCTACCCTCATTCTGGCCATCCTGTTGTTCCTCACATAAGTATAGAATGTCTTGGGGTTTTTCTTAATCTTATCCGATTTATCGACCTTTAGCCCCATTAGTTTCACTAGTAGTTTTTCTCTTGTGACAGTTATTGCATTCATTTCATCCCTCCTCCTTTAGCATCTTCATTATTTTGTATATTTTTGAATGCTATTAGTATCCTGTATAATGGAGACTGATACAAAGAGGAGGTTCAAAAGTTTCAATGGCCTCGATTTCTGCTCCTATTTCATACAGTGGTATACTCCCTTAAGGGATCTGTGGATATTCATTCCAATGTCTCTACTTCGTTACCCCTTTCAGTATCCAACTAATTATAGTCTACTCCATTGCCTTGTTAACCTTCTGTAAGTACAGTACTCCTGTCCGTACAGTTCATTGATATCTTCCTGAAATCTTCAGACCTTTTTCTCATTATCAACCACATGGCCAATTTCCGCATCGTCTCCAAACCTCTTACTTATTTCTCTCACGTTGGACCACATATCATTAATATATACCAAAAAAAGCAGGAGACTCAATTCTAAGCCTTACAGAACCCAATGGATACTACCTTCCAGTCACAAATCATTCATTGACCAACATCATCCTTTGCTTTGAATAGTACACGGAACAATGATGTGGTAGCCAGTGCAGAAACTCGGTTAAAAGAAGGGCAGGACTGGTAGCTCAATGTTCCAGGATTTAAATGTTTCGGATGAGAAAGAGAGGGATGGAAATGGGGCGGGGAGTTAAGGTGAGAACTAAGAGTGGACTGCTTGGAAGGCTCATCCAGACAATATTGGTAGAAGTTAGGAATAAGAAAGGTGTATCACTATTATGGGGTTATACTCTTGGCCTCCCAATAGCCAGTGGGAGATGAAGGGACAGATATGTAGGCAGATCATGGAAAATGTAAAAACAACATGGTTATTTGTAGCGGGTGATTTTAATTCCCCCAATATTCACTGGACTCACTTTGTACCGGGGGCTTAGATGGGGTAGAATTTGTTAGATGCATTCAGGAAGAATTCTTGAAACAACATGTGGATAGTCCAAATAGGGAAGGAGCCATATTAGCCATACTGGGCCAGGTAATAAAACTTTCAGTGGGAGAGCATTTTGGGAACAGTGATCATAATTCCATATGACACCTTCCATCACTTTCGACTGATGGGGCGATAATTGGCCGGGTTGGATTCGTCCTGCTTTTTAAGTACAGGATTTACCTGGGCAAGTTTCCACATTGTTGGGTAGATACCAGTGTTGTAACTGTACTGGAACAGCTTGGCCAGGAAACGGCAAGTTCTGGAGCACAAGTCTTCAGTACTATTGCCAAACTGTTATCAGGGTCCATCGCCTTTGTAGTATCCAGTGTCAGCAACCTTTTCTTGATATCACACGGAGTGAATCGAATTGGCTGAAGACTGTATCTGTAATGCTAGGGACCACTGGAGGAGGTCAAGATGGATCATCCAAAAGGCATTTCTGGCTGAAGATTGCTGTGAATGCTTCAGTCATATCTTTTGCACTGATGTGCTGGGCTCTTCCATCATTGGGGATGGAGATATTTGTGGAGCCTCCTCCTCCAGTGAGTTGTTTAATTGTCCACCACCATTCACAACTGGATGTGGCAGGACTGCAGAGCTTAGATCTGATCCATTGGTTGTGGGATCACGTAGCTCTGTCTATCACTTGCTGCTTTCGCTGTTTGGCGTGCAAGTAGTCCTGTTTGGTGGCTTCACCAGGTTGATACCTCATCTTCAGGTATGCCTGGTACTGCTCCTGGCATGACCTCCTGCACTCTCCATTAAACCAGGGTTGAACCCCTGGCTTGATGGTGACGGTTGAGTGGGGGATATGCTGGGCCATGAGGTTACAGTATAATTCTGCTGCTGTTGATGGCCCACGGTGCCTCATGGATGCCCAGTCGTGTTGCTGGATCTGTTTGAAGTCAATCTCATCTGGCACGGTCACCTCCCCTGCATTGCATGGAATTTACAGTGAGTTGGCAAGTTGAATACCAAATTGGTTTGGTCATGGAAGATAGAGGATTGTTGTGGAGGGGTGTTTTGGAGGTCTGTGATCAGTGGTGTTTTGCAAGGATCAGTGCTGCGACCTCTGTTGTTAAAACACTAATTTGACCTCAGCTGGAGATTGCATCCAGTTCTGACCACCACACTTTAAAAGGACTGTGATCACATTGGAGCAAGTGCAAAAGAGATTTATGTTAGTGATTGCAGGGATGAGGAATTTCAGTGATGAAAACAAATTTATTCAAGAGATGTGATTTGACAGAAATTTTCAAAATCATGATGGGCCTGAACATCGTAGATAGGGAGAAACTGTTCCCATTCATAAAAGGATCAAAAACCAGAGAACACTGATTTAAAGTAATTAATAACAAAGCAAAAGTGATATCAGGAAAAAATTTCTTCACACAGCGAGTGTTTAAATTCTGGAAGACTTTGACATTGTGATGGAGACAGGTTCCTTGGAGTGCGGGTTCATAGTTCCTTGAAAGTGGAGTTGCGGGTAAAAGGATAAGAATATGCTTGCATTTATTGGTCAATGCATTGAGTATAGGAGTTAGAATGTTGTGCAGCGACTGTGCAGGGCATTGGTTAGGCCACTTTTAGAATAGTGTGTTAAGTTCTGTTGTCCTCCCAATAGGAAAGATGTTGTGAAACTTGAAAGGGGTCAGAAAAGATTTACAACAATGTTGCAGGGTTGGAGGTTTTGAGCAATAGGGAGAGGCTGAATAGATTGGGTCTATTTTCTCTGGAGCATTGGAGGCTGAGGGGTGACCTTATAGAAGTTTATAAAATAATGAGGGGCAAGAATTGGGCGAATAGTCAAGGTCTTTTCTGCCAGGGTAGGGGAATCCAAAACTAGAGGGCATAGGTTTAAGGTGAGAGGGAAAAGATCTAAAAGGGACCTCAGGGTCAACTTTTTCACACAGAGGGTGGTGTGTGTATCGAGTGATGAGATGGTGGAGGCTGGTACAATTACAACACTTACAAGCCATCTGGATGGGTACATGAATTGGGAACCATTTAGAGGGATATAGGCTGAATACTGGCAAATGAGACTAAATTAATTTAGGTTGTCTGGTCAGCATGAATGAATTGGACCAAAGTGTCTTTTTCCATGCTGTACATCTCTGTGACTCTATGAATCTATGACTCAACCTAGGCATTCCAAAGGGAATTAGATGGCTATTTGAAAAGGAATAATGCGCAGGGTTAAGGAGAGCAGGCAGGAGAATGGAACTAAGCAAGGTGCTCATTTGGAGAGTTGTTGCAGATGAGACATGAGGCCTCCTTCTGCACTTACAATTTTGTGATTCTGTGAGACCAGCATTGAATATGATATTTTGATAAACTATGTTCAAGTCAACATACATCAAAAATATACGTATGACAGTAACAATTCATCTTCCATTTGTTCTCAACAGGAATGTATTGAAGCCTGCAAAGTGGACAATACACTTGAATCCCCTGTCTACCCTGGAAATGGCCACCTGCAGCCAATTGAAGAAAGCATCAGGAATTATGTTATGGGTCATTTCCGCTGGAACAAATTTGGGAAAAAAAGAGGCAATAACACTGAGATTTCAGACAACAAACGAGAAGATGAACCTGTTCGGAATTTCCTGAACAACCTCCCTGCTGTAGAGTCCCAGACCTCTCAAATAGAAAGTAAGGAGATGGAAGCTCCATTTCCAAGAGAGGATGATAAAAGATCCTACTCTATGGAACATTTCCGCTGGGGGAAGCCGATGGGCAGGAAGAGGAGGCCCATTAAGGTGTACCCAAATAGCTTTGATGATGAGTCATTGGAGAACATCGGTCCTGAACTGAAGCGTGAAGCATCTATTGGTTTTGATTACCCAGTAAAGCCAATTGAAGTAGGTGAAGAGGAGATGCTGGAAGATCTCAAGAAGAAAGATGGGAAGAGTTACAAAATGAACCATTTCAGGTGGGGCAGGGGACCAAAGAACTTAGATCTTGACCATGTGCATCTCCAGCCATTGCAGTTTCTGAACATTGAAGATGTGCTCCAGGAAAACATGGACAATGGTTTGCCTGAAGAAGAGGTGAAGAAAGATGAGGAAGATTACAATTTCGGCCACTTTCGATGGAGTGTACCACTGAAAGACAAGCGCTATGGAGGCTTTATGAAGTCTTGGGATGAGAGAGGTCAAAAGCCACTTCTGACTCTCTTTAGGAATGTCATTGTCAAAGATGGCCATGAGAAGAAGGCTGAAAATCAATAGATAGACAATCCCCAATGAAGATTCTTAGCTGTATGATATAGTAGCAGTACATAGATCTGCAAAAACAATTGGTAAGAAGCTGTTGTTGAAACAGAAAGGAGCCTGTACAATCTATCTTGTAAGGTTTACTGTATGTAGCAATTAATAAAAGAGTTAATATTGTATCTAAAGGCTTAATGAGTCTGCTACTCAATCATGGTTTGTGCAAAGACATTTTCCTATTTAATGAGCTGTACAGTATGTAAATGAAGGATGAAAAATACACTCATTTGCAAACCCAGTCAATCTCTTAGGATGTGATTATTTTCACGTAGTTTGTGTTGTAGAATGGGTTGTACAATCCTTCATTCCACTAATTACAGACCAAAGTTATCTTGTGTATTCTACAGCATTATTATACAAAACCCCTAACTTTAAGAGAGAACAATAAAGTAACTGAAGTCCATGTAATTCCTCCTAGTGCCTAGACTAGTAACAGACCAGTGACTAGAATATGAGAAAGAAGAATATTTTTAAAACCCATTCAGGGGATTGGGTTTTGCTGACTGGGCTAGCATTTATTGCCTGTCCATAATAACTGGAGGAGTTGCTGGTGAGTTGCCTTGTTGAACTGCTGTGGTTCAAGTGCTGTAGCCACATCTAGAATGATAGTTTCTAGGATTTTGACTCGGTGATACTGAAGAAATGGCAATGTAGTTTCAAGCAAGACAGTGTGGGACTTTGAGGGGAACTTGCAGCTGAAATCAGCCATTCAGCCCCTTCAAGATTGTTCCAACATTAAGATCAAAGCTGATCATTTACCTCAATGCCATTTTCTCATATTATCACCACATGCCTTGGCACCTTCAATATCTAGAAATCTATCAATCTTAGTCTTGAACATACTCAATGTCTGAACCTCACAATCCCCTGCGGTGGGGAATTCTAAAGATTCAACCCCTTCTGTATGGAAGAACTGTTTCTCATCCCAGTCCAAAAAGTCTCACACTTTATTCTAAGACTGTGCCCCCAGTTCTAGACTCCCAGCTGAAGGATCATTCTTCCTGCATCTACCCTGTCAATCCCTGTAAAAAATTGATGTGTTTGAATGAGATCATCTCTACATCTAAACTCCAGAGAATACAGGCCCAGTCCATTTAATCTTTCCTAAAAGCACAATCTTTCCATCCCAGGAATTAGTTTGCAGAACTAACGCTGCACTCCCTTAATAGCAAATATACCATTTTGCTATGCAAGGAGTTCAAACTGCATACAATATTCCACATGTGGTCACACCAAGGCTCTACATAATACATAATTTCACTAGTCCTATATTCAAATCCTCTTGCAATAAAGCCAACAAACTTTTTAATTGCTTGCTGTGCCTTCTTGTTATCTTTCAATAACCAATGAACAAGAACACCAAATGCTCTTTGAAATTCAACACTTCCCACTCTCACCATTGAAGAAATTCTCTGTATTTCTGTTTTCCTGCCAAAATAGGACACCTCACATTTCTCAACATTCTGCTTGATCTGCCAACTTTTCACCCTTTCATTTAGACCCTCCAAATCTCTTTGAAGCCTCTTTTCAACCTTCTCACATTTAGTTTTGTATCATCTGCAAACTTGGAAATATTATATTTGATTCCCACTTGCAAATCATTAACATATATTCTGAACAGCTGGAGCCTAAGCACTGATGCTTGCCTGACCCAACTAGTCACAACCTGAAAATAATCAATGTATGCCTATTCCGTTTTCTGTCGATTGACCAGTTCATAATTCCTGTCAGTACATTCCCTTTAGTTCCATGTGCTTTAATTGTGATAATTAACCTCTTGCATAGGACCTTATCAAAGCCTTTCTGAATTCCAAACATATCACATCATTCATTTCCCATTATCTATTCTCCTCATTGGATATTCAAAAAACTCCAACAAGTTTATTAAACATGATTTCCCTTTCAAAAATCCAGGTTGACTCTGCCCAATCCTATCATCATTTTCTGAGTGATTTGTCATAAAATTCTTTAATCTAGATTTTAGCATAATCCCTATTCTTGATAATAATGAGATAATACCTGAGACCATAAAAGATAGGAGCAGAACTAGGCCATTCAGCCCATTAGGTCTGCTTTGCCATTCAATGAGATCATGACTGATTTGTTAATCCTCAACTCCACTTTCCTGCCTTTTCACAATCACCCTTGATTCCCTTATTGATTAAAAATCTGTCTACCCCAACCTTGAATTGACTTAATGACCCAGCTTTGACAACACTGTGGTAAAAAATTCTGCAAATTCACAACCATCTGAGATAAGAAGTTCCTCCTCATCTCTGTCTTAAATGAGTGACCCCTTATTCTGAGATCATGAACTCCCCCACCCCGGTCCTGGACTCTCCCACATGGAAAACAACATTTTCACATCTAGGAATCTTGTATGTTTCAATAAGATTGTTCTCATGCTTCTCTGAACTTCTCTGGACTGCCTCCAATGCCAATATATCTTTCCTTAGAGAAGGGGCCTGAAACTATCTCAGTACTTCATCTGTGGTCTAACTAGTGCCTTGTATAGTTTTAGCAAAACATCCCTACTTTTATAGTCCATTCCTTTTAAAATAAGGGCCAATATTCGATTTGGCTTCCCCAATGTCTGCCGAACTTGAAAGCAAAATTTTGTGATTCATGGAGGAGGACTTCAAAATTCCACAATTCTGTAGCTTTCTGCAGTCTTTCTCCATTTAAATAATATTCAGCTCCTCTATTCCTCCTGCCAAAGTGCATAACATCACATCATACTAATATACTATCTCTAACACTATGGGTTCTCGTTAAGTAACCTAATGTGTGGCACCATACCAAACACCTTCTGAAATTCCAAATATATTATATCCAATGCTTCCCCTTTATCAATCCTGTTTGTTACCTCCTTAAAGAATTCTAGTAGATTTGTCAGTCGTGATTTCCTCTTCATGAAGCTATGTTGACTCTGTTTGATCGTATTACGCATCTCTAAATGCTCTGATATTGCATCCTTTACAATAGACTCAGATATTTTCCTAAGAACAGACATTAAGTTAACTGGCCTATAGTTATCTGTTTTTCATCTCCTTCCCTTTTTATATAAAGATGTTATATTGGCAGTTTTCCAATCCTCTGAAACATTTCCAGAATCTATGGAATCCTAGAAGATGACTAACAGTGGATCCACTATCTCTATAGCTACTTTTAATATCCTAGGATGCATCTCATCAGGTTCAAGTGATTTATCAGTCTTTAGCCCCATTAGTTTCCCTAGCACTTTTTCTCTAGTGATAGTTATTGTATATATTTGCTCTTCTCCTTTTGTCTTTGAACATACAGTAATTTTAGCATGTCATTAGTGTCTTCGACTGCGAAGACTGATGCAAAGTATTTATATCACACTAATAGGTCAGTAGTTCCCTGGTATCTATCTCTCTACTTTCTTAAATAGTAGGGTTATATTTGCCACTTTCCAATCTGCAGGAACCAACTAGACTCTATAGAATTTTGAAAGATAACCATCAAGGCATCCATTATCTCTATAGTCACATCCATCAACATTCTGAGATATAGATCATTGGATCCAGGGGATTTATTTACTTTAAATACCATTAATTTCTCCAGTGCTTTTTATTAAACAATAGAAACACTATGAAATGCTTGGTTTATTTTAGTCCCCAGATTTTCCACTATTTAATGCTTTCCTTCATGAAATCTCTCTGCCATTTTCTTATTCCCTATTCCCCAAATATTGAGTGGATGATCCATCTTGGCATCCAACAGAAGTCCCCACCATCATAGATGCCAGTCTTCAGCCAATTCGATTCTCTCCATGCAATGTTGAGAAGTAGCTGGAACTATAAAGGCTATGGACCCCTTGCACATTCTGGCGATAGTACTGAGGATATGTGCTCCAGCTGTAACCATGCTCCTACTGTAGCTGCTCCAGGACAATTATAACTTTGGCAAGAACCTGGCAATGTGTAAAATTGTCCTGTACACAAAAAGCAGGACAAATCCAACCTGGCCAATTATCATTCTATCAATCTATTCTCGATCATCTGTAAAATATTGGACACAACACAGTTGGAGCAGAGGGAACACAGTTGGTCAGGCAGCATCAGAGGAGCAGGAAAGTTGATGTTTTGGGAATGGGGAGGCGGAAGGGAGCTGGGAAATAAATAGAGAGAGGAGGGGTGGGGCTGGGGAAGGCAGGTGGGAAGGTGGTAAGCGAATGCAGGTAGAGAGTGATGGGGATTGGTCAGTGGAATGGGTGGGACAGATAGTTGGGAGAAAAGATGAACAGGTTGTGTCGGGTCAAGGTGGTGGGAGGGAGGATGGGTGGGGCTGAGGAAAGGTAGGTGGGGTGGCGATAGGTTGGATGCAGGTAGGGTGTAGTGGGGATTGGTCGGAGGGAAGGGTAGGGCAGATAGGTGGGGAAGAAGATGGACAGGTTGCGTCAGGTCAAGGAAGTGGGGATGAGATTTTTTTTCCTTATTCATTGACGGGATGAGGGTGTCGCTAGCCAGGCAGCATTTATTGCTCAACCCTAATTGCCCAGAGGGCAGTTAAGAGTCAACCACATTGCTTTGGGTCTGGAGGCTCATGTAGGCCAGACCAGGTAAGGGTGGCAGTTTCCTTCCCGAAAGGACTTTAGTGAATCAGATGGATTTTTCCTGACAGTCGGCAATGGATTCATGGTCATCAGTAGACTCTTAATTCCAGATATTTATTGAATTTAAAATCCACCATCTGCTGTGGCAGGATTCAAACTGGAACATTATGTAGGTCTCCAGATTAACAGTCCAGTGATAATACCACTAGGCCATCGCCTCCCCTATAGGGAGGGAGGGTTGGACGTGGGATGAGGCTGGGGTCGGGGAGATTTTGAAACTGGTGAATTCTATGTTAAGGCCATCGAGGTGTAGGCTTCTGAGGCGGAATATAAGGTGTTGTTCCTCCAGTTTGTGTGCGGTGTCATTGTGGCACCTACCACTCCGTGGGTGACATGTCCATCCTGGGTCTCCTCCAGTGCCACCATTCAATTCACACTTCTCTGCAAATTCCATGATCTGTGTAAATCAAAGAGATATGGATGCTGAAACAGAAATTGCTGACAAAACTCAGTGATACAATTACGGTTAGGTCACAGGTCTGGCAGCAT